GTACAACGAACCAGTGGGACCATGAGGGGGCACAACAGGAGGCCAAGAAGTCGCGATGTTAGTGTCTTGCGACTGCCCGTGAGGCATCTGAATGGAAGGGTTCTGATTGGTAGACTGACCAGTTCTTGAAGTGACCGGTTTCTGCATCACCACGTGACCCATTGAAACTGGCAGACCCGCTTGGTAGGGCGCAATGGTCTGGTTAGTCGGTCTACGAGGATCACCGATAACAGAGCGCCCAGTAGTCTTCAAAGAAATGTTACTAGGTAAAGGAACTAACTGCGGTGTACCATATGATTTCCCGGAAACTGGATTCGCTCTATGGTCTGGAATTTCCGGCAGTGGAAAGGCACCCGCTGATCGGGACCGCGTTTTGGGCGAAGGCGGCTGGAGTTTGGGCTTAGAAGCATATGGATCAGTCAGCATAACACGATGAGCTGCTTGACGATCACCGGTGGAAGATGGGATTGAACCGGAATCCGTGAGTACCGAAAGATACGGCATGGGGGCTGAAGCGTGCGACTTTTCTCGCAGGTTGGACAATGATGCAGAGGGATAAGGAGGGATCATTTTAATTTGTTTAGATGCTTCGGACAGACCCATTACTTGTGATAGATCACGAGAAGAACTGCGCCCCAGACCGTAAGCTTGTAATGGTAAACCATGTGACGGCGGACGAGGTGTGAAAGTTGTGTTAGGTCCCAGAGAATCACGGTGCGCCTGTGAGTAGATAGGTTGAGATTCATTAGTCAACTGGAATGAACTGGGCTGCTTTTTGAACTGCCTTCCGCTGACAACTCTGTCCATCCCACTATGGTTTGCCAAAAGCGGAGTAGTCTGGTCACCGGCTATGGAGTAATAGCCTGAACGAGGATCCATACGACCAGTGGACATACTTGAGGCATTAGAGAAGTGAGTAGCCTGGATGCCGGGGCCTGACATGGTGTTTGTAGATTGAAAACTCTGTAGCGGTTCTTCACGCGGGATACCACTCTTTTTACCCTTTTCTTTGGTCAGTGGTATGATAGACTGGGGGTGGCCAGAACCGTCGGTTGGCAGAGACGCTGCAATTTCGGTGTCAGTCACACCCAATTTGCCATAATCTGTTGGGTGACCCGGTGAAACAGTTGTAGAACGCGTAGTGTCAGTTGAATTTGGAGGTTGTTCGGTACTTGTTTCAGCCATGCTCTTTGATGTAAGCGATATCGGATCGGCACTCGCGAAATGTGCGGTGGTTTGCGGCATTTGGCCAGTAACTGTGGCGAGCCTTAAACCGTTCAACGAATCATTTATAACCGGAATAGGAGCCCCAGGCAAAGAAGTCACGGGGATAGAAGTAGGCGGCTGAATTCCGGTCTCTGATGCATGTTGCTGCAAATGAGAAAACAATGGAAACCAAGAGTAAATCAAAAGTTCACATAGGTGGCATCAAGATGAACAGCTTGGCCTGGCGTGTACTGAATGAACAGGCGTATGGACTTAATGCAATTGAGGAGTACCTCACGTCATGCTTATGTACTTCTGCATGACTATTAATTTTGCACTTCTATGCAGCGCTTTCAGTCAGGTTTCGGATTATCTAGGTACTGATCGATCAGGGATGGAGTGAAACTAAAGGAAATGCTAAGAATAATATCAGCATAAGGAACGCGGGTAAACAAGATGAGTTTGTGATATAATGCATGGACGTCATTGCTTATGACGCCCAGCCACATCAGTCAATATTTCGACCATTATCAGTGATCAGGACGATTTCGAAGTCCTTTCACAATCTTCATGATCAAATCTCCTGGCTACAGTTCTCACATTTTCTCGAGATCACAGTCGAGTCGTCCGAAAGCTTTCCGCAACCATTACCTACAAATATCACATGACGAGGAAGCCTATCAAACGAAATCATAATCGGTCGAGGTAGAAAATCAAGTGGTCGACCGCGAACAATTAATACTCTTGGTCTAACCTCAACATCGCTTATCTGGTTGTCACACCAGACTCGTGCGAGCGGACGCAAACAACTTGCACTTGTTCTCTACCCGTAACAGCTAAGCATCTACGTCAGTTGGGAACGCAGTTATCACCGTCAATAGTTAAGATTAAGGAAATATCTCCCATGGTTTGTTCCTCGCTAACATCCTGGAACTAAAAATTGAATCGCTTTCAATGCCACCAAAACCTCTTGTATAACCGTATCCCACAAATATAATTCTTGTGATTCCGATTCGCATTTCTACTTAGATACATTTCGGTCCATATCTTTTACTGTTCTTGCATAGTGTGTGTCCAACAAAGTTTGCCACTCCTCAAGTAGTTTTTCGTCCTTTTACAGCTTTTCAACCCAGTTCATATCCACTGTGAAGTGTTACTAGCATGTCTGGGACGAGACCCTCTTTCGGTAGCATAAAGCCATTTGGGTAATCGCTGATCCGTCCCTAACATTTACTCTTTAACTGCCTACCTAACGTCATACGATCACCTCCCTAACCCTTTTTATTAACAAGTGAAGTTTACTGATTTGGTCCCTTCTCCACCTTCATTTTTTGTCGAGAAACGGTCACCAGTGTAGAGCCACTCTTATTAAGTGATCCTGACAATGTCAAACGACGACGTTCAAATCCTCATTTTCTCCAAGAACACTTTTCTCCACTTAGTCCCCCGCCTCTTTCGATATTTAGGTGCAGAATCAATGTGCTGTGTTTGAATGAATTTTCCTCCATCCATATTGCGACTATGGGGACTTCCCCTTTACATCAACATTCGTAATGCAAAAAAGCCTGACAAACACCTGGTTGGATTTTCTTATGCATGACTTTAAATCATCTCCAATACCACCACCAGTAGTCAACTTTCTTCCGAGGTAAACAAAACCGTCCATCTCCATTCCTTGAAGACTATTCACAACCGATCGTCTCCACACACTCACACAGTTTGTTTCTATTTTGAATTTGGAGGCGATCGGCAGAATTCGATTTATTATTGTTTACTGTTCGATAAAGATGACCGTGACAACGGACCCGTAAGGACGGACATCGGTGGTGATTAGAACAACAACTGGACAAAGCCACTTTTGTGGAGGCAGTTGAAAAAAACAGCCAAAGACAAAACACCTTGCTCTGACACTGTACAACCATCCCCAGCGAAGCACAAACCGTGACCTAACCTTGATCAGCAAAAGAAAAGCGTTTAATTGAAACATAGATAGATGTTCCAGTGACAATTATTGAACGCTTGGTAAGAACTCACATTTGATGTATAATGCGCTACATTAGGTCCTGGGTTCACCCGGTACACCAGAGACCGCTCTCCGTTACCAGCCAATTCAAAATTGCTCGGATTGGACGGACCACTACGTTCTCGAATCAATCTAAGTAGGCGAACAAATGTGATGAATAAGAAAGCAAAAACTGGAGTACGTACATTGGATTTTCGGCTGAACAAAACACACGCCACCAATTGACACAGCAACCGCGATTGTACGGATTCATGCCCAAATCGTATTTAGAAGTGACCTGTGATATAGAAATAACAAAGGAACAGGGACCAAAGAGGGAAACAAAATATTATAATCACTATGGTGCACACGTGGCCTGATTGTGTCAAACAAAACACAGTGCAACAATCTTTATAATGAAGAAATGCGGTCCTGCTTGGATCGTGGGCGGAATACCTTCCCAAGCCAATACATGTGGGGCTTTTGTTGGGGGGACGCCCACAACAGGAACCTTCAGTTAGCTAAAGCCCGATTCGTAAGGCAGCGGGGCGGTGTGGGAAAACCGCAAGCACGTGGGATCTGATGTCCATTCCACCGAATCACACGCCCTTTGGACGGGTCAAAGTCAAGGTGCACGATGCATCTGGATGCCCAAAACAGCCGATAACCACTGCCTCAAAAAGGAAGGTGAATGTGGTTCATATGCATCTAATGGCTGGTTTCAAATCAGCACTCTAAGCCAACTTGCCTAGGTGAACAGCCAATGCTTCATCAACCCGGTCATAACTTCAGAAGTTTATTTGACGTTCTTTTACTTTGGCTGTAAAGCACTGTCACGTGAAAATACTAAGACAGCGACTATTAAAGAGATGCATGATCGTAAAGGAGCGCTACGTGAGGTGCGAAGGAAGGGCGACCAATTGCAGCCCAAAACATCTACCCCAAACTATACTGAGGATTTCGCAATATGTAAACGACAACGAATGTTATTAAT